TTTAAATCCTATAATTTAATTAGAGTCGGAATATGAATCTACAACTAAAGGTACGAGAAAGTGGGGCCACACATCATTAGCAGTGGAATTGGAGTGAAAGACAAAGAGGCTGTCCAACTTCGGTTTGACCGCCACAGTTGACACCCTGTATGCAGCTGTGCTCCAACCTCCGTCCTTGAAGGGTGCCGAAAAAGCCGGAGAGGTTAATTTTTTTTAATATAAAAAAAATGAGCAATAAGTAATTAATTGGGGAAATCACAAATAAAGACCCTCGAATTAGCAAAATCACTCTATGGTCACCTGAATATGTTAAATTACTATGAGGGACCCGTCTCAAATTGTAATTATGAAATCATGCCAAATTACCAAAATACCCCTCTTTAATTTTTTTTAAAAAAGAAAGCCACTGCCTCACCGGAATCCGGCCACCGGTGCCGGAGTTCCGGCGGCCGCTTCCGGCCACTGTCAGCGGCCGGACGCCGGGGTCCGGCCGCCGGAACTCTGGCGCCGGCGGCCGCTTCCGACGATCTTCCTTTGTTTTTTTTTTTGAAACTGTTTTTTTTTTAAATTGGGGGGAAGTGAGGTTGGGGGGATTTGATCCCCCAACCTAATGCTTCCCAAAATAAGGAATGACCATTGAGCCAACAAATTTTTGTTAACATTATGATGCAAAAAAAAAAAAAAGTTAACTCATTTACTCTTGTTCCAGGTGATAACAACAATACATTTGGAAATAACAAGTTCTGATTGTAAAATAACACGTCTGGAATAAAAATTTAACAATATGTTTTTTTTATAACAATAAATTTTGTTGCAGGTAATAACAACAATACATTTAAAAGTAACAAGTTCTGATTATAAAATAACAAGTTTGGGACTAAAATTTAATAACACGTTTTAACAACACGTTTTTTTATAACAATTAATTATTTTATACTTTTAAAAAATAAATTATTTATAACTTATAAAAAATATTTTTAATATATTTATTTCTCTAAAAAAATACTTTTTAATCTGTATATCTATACAACTCATTATAAATCAAACTACTTCTTATAAATTATAAAGTATTTATAATAAGGCATTTTTGATTTATTAATCATAGTATAAATTTTATATTATTTCATTCTTTAAATATTAAAAATAGTTTTTATATTTAAAGAATAAAATAGTATTTTTAATTATAAATTAGAGATAAATTTCATTTATAAATTTAAGCAGTCAAAAAGTATTTTTAATCCACAATAAATTGTACTATTTATAATTTATAAGAAGTAGTTTGATTTATAATAAGTTGTATAGATATATAGATTAAAAATTTTAAAAAAAATTAAAAAAGTGTGTTGCCATTTTCCCTAAATTTTATTTATAAATTTGAACAATAAAAAAGTATTTTTAATCTATAAAAAATTATACTTCAAGTTCTGATTATAAATTGGAGATAAAAATTATTTTTTTAGCAAATTAAATAGATTACAAGTACTTTTTATAAGTTATAAATAATTTATTTTCCAAAAGTATAAAATAATTAATTGTTATAAAAAAAAGGTGCTGTTGAATTTTAATTCCAGACTTGTTATTTTATAATCAGAACTTGTTATTTCCAAATGTATTGTTGTTATCACTTGAAACAAAGTGTGTTGTTATAAAAAAACATGTTGTTAAATTTTAATCCCAGACTTATTATCTTATAATCAGAACTTGTTATTTTTAAATGTATTGTTGTTATCACTTGAAATAAAGTGTGTTGTTATAAAAAAAAACGTGTTGTTAAATTCTAATCCCAAACTTGTTATTTTATAATCAGAACTTGTTATTTTTAAATGTATTGTTGTTATTGCCTGCAACAAAATTTATTGTTATAAAAAAAACATATTGTTAAATTTTTATTCCAGACGTGTTATTTTACAATCAGAACTTGTTATTTCCAAATGTATTGTTGTTATCACCTGGAACAAGAGTAAATGAGTTAACTTATATTTTTTTTTGCATCATAATGTTAACAAAAATTTGTTGGCTCAATGGTCATTCCTTATTTTGGGAAGCATTAGGTTGGGGGATCAAATCCCCCAACCTCACTTCCCCCCAATTTAAAAAAAAAACAGTTTCAAAAAAAAAAAACAAAGGAAGACCGCTGGAAGCGGCCGCCGGCGCCGGAGCTCCGGCGGCCGAACCCCGGCGTATGGCCGCCGACAGTGGCCGGAAGCGGCCGCCGGAGCTCCGGCGCCGATGGCCGGATTCCGGTGAGGCAGTGACTTTTTTTTTAAAAAAAAATTAAAGAGAGGTATTTTGATAATTTGGCCATGATTTCATAATTATAATTTGAGACCGGGTCCCTCATAGTAATTTAGCATATTCAGGTGACCATAGAGTGATTTTGCTAATTCGAGGGTCTTTATTTGTGATTTCTCCTAATTAATTTAAATTTTGAATTTAAGACTGGGAAATGAGATGATTCAAAATTCAAGTTCAGATCTCAAAGCTCAAGTTCAGATCTCAAAGCATGTGTCTGTAGCACGCATTCCAACTTGGATGAGTCACGTAACACAAAACCCAATAAAAATATTATAAAAATCATAAACCTCTTATGAACAGTAAAATAAATATGAAGTTAAAAAAACAAGGAAAATCCCAATTAAATCCATCTGAAATAATGAAATTCCATTTAAGGCTTATACTTTTAACGAATTCTTAATTAGGTTAAGAGGCCTAATTAGGGATTTTCAAATGTTACTAAAAGACCGGAATGCCTCTTTATAATAAAAAAGGAAAATTGAAAGTAGGTGTAAATATAATTTTAGTTTGAATTATTCTAGTAAATTTACTAATGAGGATGTGGTCTTTCTTAGATTTTATGTCAAATGTGTGTTTTGTAATTGTGAACGTTATGTCAACTCTAGAATTTATGACCTTTTAGTTTTTTTTATATAATAAAAATTTGATATTAAATAAATCTTGGAGACTGGAAAATTGAAGATGAATTGATGAGTCTCAATGTAAGTTGTGAAATAGTAAAATTAATTTTGATAGATATTCAACAATTCCATGAATCTTTGATTTGATTTTTTCTCGCACAAAAAAATATATTTGATCTTGTTAATCTTTTACATTTGAAATCGTAAAATTTTTATTAGTAGCCATATTTTGCAATTCTATAGATATCTAGAAATTATGTATTTTTTTTATCTTGAATTTTCAATTACTTTTTATTGGTCATAATTATGATTTTTCTTTTTTTTTATATATGATAATGTTTTTGGCCAAATTTTCATGTGATAATGTTTAAAGAAAAAACATGTTAGTTAAATTCAATTAAAAGAATTAAAACTAAAATTAGGCTTTTAATTATGAAGGGTATTTTGGTCTTTTAGAAATATTTAAAAATTCTCAATTACACCTCTTGGACTAATTAAGAATTTATTAAAAGTGTAGGCTTAAACTAGAATTTTTCCAAAAAACAAAGCCATGTGAGCCATGGTTTTAGTGCAAGAGTATTAAAATACATATTGATATATTAATAGTTACCTAATCTCATTTTTTTAAAAAAAATTAGATTGAAAATATGTTATTTCTTTTTTACTATTAATCTAAACAGATCCAGTATTTAAGGCATTATGAAGTACTAAATATAAACATTTCTTTTAGTAAGGATTTGAATTTTTATTTATCATATTATGAAAAACTAATCTTTTCTGCTAAACTTAATTTTCTAGTAATTATAAATATTAGGAACACATTAAAATTTGTTTGCATAAGTGCCATGGACTCTCACCTCTCAAGTGATTAAAATTGAAAATCTCATTTTGAAATAAACATGCACATTAAGTAAATATTACTTGAATGCAATAAATATATTTTAAAATATATTTCCAAACAGTAAATACATTTGTTGAGATTATTGATTGATAAATAAGAGTTATACTTATATATTTTGATTACTGTTCTAATAAAAAAAATTAAAGGTTAATGCCACGTAGTACTAATAATTACAACTGACAACAACACGCACAATCTCTCGTTAAAAAGAAAAAAGAAAAAAGAAAAAAAAAACACCAACCCAAGCTGAGCAGCAGGAAGTCTTCTCTCAGACTAAGGGTGTGTTTGGATGAAACCAAACCGTGGTTTGGAAAAGTGATTCTGGAGAATAGATTCTGGAAAAAATAGATTCTGTGAAGAATAGATTTTGTAAAAAAGTGATTCTGAGAAGTGAGAGTGTTTGGATAGTTGTTATCAGAAGCACTTTTTATATATACAAATTACTAAAAAAAAGACATAAGTTAATATGATAATTACAGAAAAAATAGATTTTATGATATATTTTAATTTGAAGAAATAAAATTGTTAATAATATGTTTTTTACCAACATAATTAATAATACATAAGATAATATAATTAATAAATAATTAATGTCTATATATATTTATAAAATATAAGATTAAATATATTTATAAAAAATATGTTTATAAAAAAAATAACAAGATACATATCATATAGGCCCTCACACTCTCCCTTTTTTCTCCAAAAGCAAAAAATTTTGCTTTTTCCAAAACCATGGTTTTGGAGTCAAAACCATGGTTTTGACCCAAAACCATGGTTTTGGTTTTTGGAGAGGCTGTTTGGGTAGCATTTTCCCCAAACCATGGTTTGAGTCCCCAAACCATGGTTTGGGGTGCTATCCAAACAGAGCCTAAAAGTCTTCTTCCAAAGTCTTCTCGGAAACTTCATAGTTCATTCATATTAATGTTTGGAGGACCCGCGCGCTTATTTTGTCACTTCCAGACCCCACACGCCATTCTTTCTTTTTCTTTCATGAAAAGGCCGAACTGAACCAAGCCGAGGGCAATAAAGTCTTGACCTTTTTGAGTCGAGGCAACCTCGCGGAAGGGGATGATGCTGATGGTACTAGCTAATATTTAAATCCTCCAACGTCTTGGCAGTGTCTCGTGCTTCAAATATTCCATCACTTGTTTCAGTGTTCTAGTGTTGATCGTGCACACTTCATGGCTGATAGCGTAGTTAGTTTTGTGCTGGAAAACTTGTCTCGGCTTGCGGCGCACGAAGCCAATTTGCTATGTGGCGTGGAGGACAAAGTGAAGCTCCTTGAGAGTCAGCTCAGAATGATGACTGTCTTTCTTAAGAACAGCGACCAAAACACACGGAAGAAGGAGATCGAACAAGAGGTTGTGCGTCAAATCACAGACATCGCACATGAAGCTGAGGATGTCATCGACACCTATGTTGCCAATGTTGCCCGCAACCAAAGGAGAAGTTGGGTGTCCAAGATGCTCCATGGTGTAGACCATGCAAAGCTGCTGCACCACGTGGCAGAGAGAATAGACAACATTAAAGTCAGAATTGACCAGATTTATGAGAACAGAATCAAATTCGACACCCAGGAAGCGGCAGGATCTTCAACAGATCAGGAGTTACAACTACTACACAAGCGAAGAAGGGACGTGGAAGAAGATGACGTGGTGGGTTTTCAGCATGGCACTACTGAAGTAATCAATCTCCTAGAGCAAGGGGGTCTACGTCGCAATGTGGTGTCCATCGTAGGTATGGGCGGATTGGGTAAAACTACTCTTGCTCGCAAGATTTATAACAGTGATTATGTTAAGAATCGCTTCCATTGTCATGCTTGGGTTTATGTGTCTAATGACTATAGACCTAAAGAGCTTTTGCTTGCTCTTCTTAAATGCTTGATGACAATCTCTGCAAATACTTGTTATGATAATAACAATAGCAGTCGCAAGCATAAGACAAAATCAAAGGGAAAAGGCAAAGCTGAATCTGATGATTTTTATAGTTTGAGTGAGGAAGAATTGAGAGGCAAGGTACAACACTGTTTGAAAGAGAAGAGGTATCTTGTAGTGTTAGATGACATATGGAAACCTCAACATTGGGATGACCTGCAAGATGCCTTCCCAGATGATAATAAAAGCAGTAGAATCTTGATCACCAGTCGTTTGAAAGAGGTGGCTTCTCATGCCAGCTCATCTCCTCCTTACTATCTCCCTTTTCTTAATCAGGAAGAAAGTTGGGAGCTTTTCTCAAAGAGGGTGTTTCGAGGAGAATGTGTGCCTTCTAATCTAGAGTTACTAGGTAAGCAAATGGCAGAAAGTTGTGGTGGCTTGCCACTGTCCATTGTGGTACTTGCAGGGATTCTGGCAAACAAGGAGAAGTCATACCGGGAATGGTCCAAGATCATCGGCCATGTCAACTCATATCTCACTCAACCAGAAACACAAGTACAAGATATAGTGCTTAAACTTAGTTATGATAGCTTGCCTCCAAAATTGAGGCCGTGCTTTCTATATTTTGGCATGTTTCCTGAAGATCATGAGATTCCTGTTAGACACTTAATCCGGTTATGGGTTGCTGAAGGATTCATTCTTCACAGTGATTTCAGAATTACAGAGGATGTTGCAGAGGACTACTTGGATGAGCTCATTGATCGTAGCTTAATTCAAGTGGGAAGAAGGAGAAGTGACGGGGGAATCAAGACATGTCGCATCCATGATTTGCTAAGAGATCTTTGCATATCTGAGAGCGGGGAGGAGAAGAAGTCTTTGAAGTTTGCAGGGATGTGAACATTTTGAAGAAAACCAAACCTCGCAGGCTATCCATTCAATGTAGCATGTCTGATTATTTTGCTTCAAGCAACAAAGACCATTCAGGCACACGTTCCGTGCTCTGCTTTGATCGCGACTCTGGCTACGACCTTGGTTCAAGCAAGAGAAAAAGGCTTGTGAAATGGTTTCAACTTGTTCGAGTGTTGGATCTAGTAGTTCCATTGTCTTGTGAGTTTAAGATCCCTACCAGTTTAAAAATGTTAGTGCATCTAAGGTACTTAAGAATAGACCTGGAAGGAAGCTTTTATCGAGGATTAGTCAGAGTGATTCCTGAATCCATATGTAATCTATGGAACCTGGAAACTTTGGACCTGGGGCATTCTATTCCGATATCCGTAACCTTCCCCGGTGGAATGTGGAAGCTTAAGAGACTGAGACATCTTCATATGGCTGGACCTGTGATTTTACCTAAGTTTCCAAATGTAGAAAATAAGACCATGTGGAATCTACAAACCTTATCCCGTGTTGCCGTAAACAAAAAATCAGCCGCTGCGTCTCTAATAGGAAAGGGTGTTTTCCCAAAGCTTAGGAAATTGGGTTTGCACTTTCATGAAGATGACAAGCATAAACAAGGAGTTGGCCAAGTGTGGGAATACCTTCCAAGCCTAAATCATCTTAATGCATTGAAGATTCATGGCTTTCCTGATCTGCCAACATTTGTCAATGCCTTTCCCTCCAACCTTACCAAGCTATCAATCTATGGGGCCGACTTGAATAGCGATGTCATGAGCACGTTAGGGAGTCTTACCAACCTCAGGATTTTGAAACTAGATGGTTGTCGGTTTCCAGAAGCCTCAAGCTCTGAGTTAGGTCTTTGTTGCATTAATAATGGATTTCCCAACTAGAGGTATTTCAAATGAAATGATGGGGAAGCTCTATCGCTGGGAATTAGGTAAAGATGTAATGCCATGTCTCAGGCGTTTGGTCATTGAAAATTGCCACGAGTTGACTGCTCTCCCTAACGAACTCTGGTCCTTGACTTCCTTGCGAGAGGTACAAGTAAAATGGCCCTCTGAATCGCTGGAGATGCAGCTCCGAAGTCAACCCATGAGAGATGGGTGCAATCTCATTATCTCTTGAAGTTCCTTGTGGTGAATGATGGAGAGGCAGCCATCTGTATTTTTTAATGAGGGAAAAAAAATCCCCTCGGGGGGAATATATGTGAGTTGAAATGATGTGTTGTATTGAAAATTACTTGCTTTACAGCTGCTTAACTCTAACAATCTCCAATTGACTTCTTGTGAAAGCTATGCAGAACCATGCATGTCTTGCATTTTTATATATTTCCGTCATTATTTACGAAAAATGAAAAGAACCGTTTGAAGGTTTTAAAGTGTCTGTGATGATATTTCATTTACAATGATTATGTAACCTCCCTCCTCCTTGTCTCTTTTCATTTTTTCTTGCCAGCTTCTCCTTTTCATTCTCAACATTTTGTTTTTCGGCAACTATTTTAAACACCTCTTTATAATTAAAAAAAATAAACATTATAGATTCTTAAAAATTATCATACACTTCTCTAGTCTTATTTATAAGATAGAGAGAAATTTTTTTACCTTATTTATAGTCATATCATTAATTTTTTTTTTTTTACATAAGTATCAATTTTACCTTTAATGTGTTATTATGGGGACTTTGTACTGTACTACTGTTAAGATAAAGTGTATATTGACTTAATTAAAAATTGTTATATACTCATTTGCTTATATTTATAAATTACTTTTGGCATGTTTAATTAGAAAAAAGATCTTAACACTCGTTAACTTTATCTTAAAATTTATAAGTTACTTCTTCCAATTTAAAATATAAGTTTGAAATCACTAAATTACACAACTTGAAAAGTTTTTAAAATTGATTAAAAATAATAAATATGTAAAACAATTTATTTTCCTAGAACACCTAATATGAGCGGAAAAAGCAGATAAAAAAGGCATATAACTAATTAGAAGTAAAAATGAAAAAAAAATACATTAAATAATCACATAAATCCAAATTGAAACTTATTAAAAAAATATATATGTCCCTTCAAAAATTTGAAGCTTATATTTTGGACAGGAGGGAGCATTTTACCCCTAAAATCTAAAGTTCACATAATACTCCCTCTTTGTAAGCTTTAAATTTATTTTTAGGCAGATTGTAAACTTGAGTTAGTGAAGTTTGTTAATTCGTATTATATTAGTTTTAAAAATAAAATATAGGAGGGAATATAGGAAAAAATGCAGGAGGTTTAGATAGGGATAATATATTAATATGATATTTTTAAGTTTATATTTAAATATTTAGTCCTTTTAAATAGATTTAATTTTATGATCATGTCCCATAAATATCATTCCCTCTTGATCTTTCCCTGAGTCTCTCTAATTCTCCCTAAATATAACAATTAACCCATATTTACAAGGAGAAAAAGTATCCACACAGGATAATAATTTTTTGAAATGTAAAAGAGAACAACAATAATAAATAACATGGCAAAATTTTAATTGACGTTGGACCTGAATAAATTCACAAAGAAACTATATAATGAAATATCTAAATAAATAGCCAATTTATGGAATTTTTACCAGAAGAAAATGCAATATGAACAAATAACTGTAGTCAAAACATCTAGGTGATACTTTTATAAAGCCGCATTGAGTATTCCATGGCCTGAATAAAGAAACCGAGTAAAAAGGACTAAAGCCACACAGCCGCACACGTATTCACTAGTTATTGGATGCAATAGTTATCCAATCCCACTTTTTTTAAAAAAATCAAATTAAAAATACGTTTTTTTTTAACGCTAATCCAAATAAACCCAACATTCAAGATATTATGAAATACTAAATAAAAGCATCTCTCTCAATAAGAATTTAAATTTTTATTCATTATATTGTAAAAAACTAACTCCTTCTATTAAATTTAATTTTTTTGTAATTATGAATATTAGGAACACATTAAAATTTGTTTGTGTAAGAGCCATAGACTCTCATCTCTCAAATGATTAAAATTGAAAGTCTCATTTTGAAAGAAACATTCACATTAAATAAATATTACTTGAATACAATAAATATATTTTAAAATATATTTCCAAACAGTAACTACATTTGTTGAGATTATATTATAGATTGATAAATAAAAGTTATATAGTTTGATTACGATTCTAATAAAAAAAATTAAAGGTTAATACCAGCTAGTACTAATAATTACAACACACACAATCTCTCGTTAAAATTTAAAAAAAAAAATCGTGAAACCGCTGAGGAATAGGATGTCTTCTCTCAGACTCGAAGTCTTCTTCTGAAACTTCATAGCTCTCATATTAATGTTTGGAGGACCCACACGGTTCTTTAGTCGCTTCCGGACCCCACACGCCATTCTTTCTTTTTCTTTCATCAAAAGGCCAAACGGAACCAAGGCGATAGCAATAAAGTCTTGACTTCTAATAAATATTTGGATAAGATCAAAACTATAGTTTTAGAAATAGTTTTACAGTATACAAAATAAATATATAGAAAAATTTATCTCGATTTATAAAAAGGTACTTCTGAAAAGTAATTATTGAAACATCTAAATATTGTCAAGAGGTGATGCTTTTTTTTTTTAAATAAAGAAACCGAAGAAAAAAGGGGAAAAGCCATTAATTATGAATATTAGAAACACATTAAAATTTGTTTAATTTGTTTAAGTGCCATGCCCGGACTCTTATCTCTCAAGTAATTAAAATTAAGTTAAAATATACATTTAATCCTTTAATTTTATTAAGAGTTTTAATTTTCTCTTAATTTTAAAAAGCATATTTTTAGTCCTTTAAACCTAAAATTATTAACAAAAAATAACGATATTACGATCTTAAATACTAATAAAATATTCTCAAATGTTAATATATTAAGTTTAATTTTTTACACAACATAATTATTATAAAAAATCATCATTTGAGCTGAATAATTTTTGGATTAAAGGACTAAATGTATACTTTTTAAACTTAAGGGATCAAATTAAAATCTTGTACAAAGACAAAAGACTAAATGTATATTTTAGCCTTAAAATTAAAAGTCTGCATTTTGAAATAAACATTCATATTAAATAAATATTAATTACTTGAATGCAATATATATTAGTCAAAAATATATTTCCAAACAGTAAATACATTTGTTGAGATTAGAGCTTCATAAGTAAAAATTATATATTTTTTTTACTACTACATTACCATGTGTCTTATTTTTAAAATATTAGTATTTAATTATAATTATAAATTTACATGAAATCAAAAAAATACTTAACCATTTATGGTTGGAAAACTTGTTATAATAAATATAAAAAAATTTAACCTAAGTTTTTTTTTTAAAAAAAAAAATCATGAGCCTAATCTCAGCAACAGAAGTCTCCTCTCAGACTGGAAGTCTTCTTCCAAAGTCTTGTCCAAAACTACATATCAACGTTTGGAGGACCCACACGCTTCTTTTGTCACTTCCATAACCCACAAGCCAATCCTCTTTTTCTTTTTCGTCAAAAGGCCAAAGTGAACAAGGGAACTACAATAAAATCTTGTCCTTTAGTCTTTGGAGCAACTCCGCGGTATATTACCTCCTGTTCGATTTATAAAATTTTATTTATAAACTATAAATGAGGTTTTATAATTAAGATGGAAGGTATCATATACTAACCAATATATAAATCTTTTTTTTTTTTACCTGAGCCAGTATTTAAATCCTTGAAAGTTTTGGCAATTAATGTCTTGTGCTTCAAATTTTCCATCACTTAGTTTCGGTGTTCTAGTGTTGATCGTGCAGACTTCATGGTTGATAACATACAGTAGTTAGTTTTGTGCTGAAAAACTTGTCTCGGCTTCTGGTGCACGAAGTCAATTTGCTATGCGGCGTGGAGGATAAAGCGATCCGTAAAAATCAATTAAAAAAAATACACAAACATTGTTCAGTTATATAAAAATTAAAGTTTTATTTTCTTTATCAAAAATTAAA